GATGGCTCAGTGGTTAAGAGCACTGACTGCTCTTCCAGAGGTCCTGAGTTCAATTCCCAGCAACCACATGGTGGCTCACAACCTCCTAATGAGATCTGGTGCCCTCTTCTGGTGTGCAGACATACATGCAGATAGAATACTGTATACATAATAAATAAATAAATCTTAAAAAACAGAGAGAGAGAGAGAGAGAGTATTAAAGGAACTAGGTCTGCACAAAGCTTAGTCCATTTGAAGACAAGATGCCCAACAGACTGTAGAGATGGCTTAATGGTTAAAAGCACTTGCTGGGGGTCCTCTGAAAGCTGTAGTGGGTAGCCATTCCAGCTTTGATCTGGAAATTCCAACCCCCATTGAGGCTTCGGTAACTGTCATGCCTACAAGGCAGGGCCGAGAGAGGACCCTGAAGACCTGAGATCCGAATGCACTGGCCCTCTTGGTTCCTGGACCCTGGACTCTAGAGGTAGACCGAGCAGAGTTCTCCAGAGAACACCGCCAGACTGCGCTACACCTTTCCCAGACCCTGTTACCTATCCCTTCACTTGTAAGTTACCCCACAAAATAAACCTCCCTTTTAACTACGTGGAGTGGCCTTAATAATTTTACCAATATCTGGTGCCCAACGTGAGTTTCCAGCACTGATAGCTGTAACTCTAGCTCCAGGGGATCTGATGCCCTCTTCTGGCTTCCTTGGGCACCACATACAGGTACAGATACACCTATACACACATTAAAAACAAATCTTAGGAAAAAAAAAAGATGCCAAACAGGCTAGGTAGACATGATGGTGCACGCCTGTATCCCAGCAGTTGACAGGTAGAGGTAGGAGTGTCAGGAGTTCAAAGTTATCTTCAGCTACCTACAAGGTCTCTGTCTCAAAAAGCTGAAACTGGGTCAATGAGATGACGCAACAGGTAAAGGTCTTTGCCACCAAGCCTGATGACATAAATTCTGTCCCCTGATCCATATGGTGAGAGGAGTGAGCCAACCAGTAAGTTGTCACCTGACCTCTACATATGTGTGTGCTGTGACAAGTGCTTGTCCACACAGACACACAGATATGTTAATTTAAAAATGATAGTTGGGCACTGTGGCACACCCCTTTAGTCTCTCAGCACTAGAGAGGCTGAGGCAGGGAAATCTCTGTGAGTTCAAGGCCAGCCTGGTCTATAGCTGGAGTTCCAGGACAGCCAGGGCTACACAGAAGAACCCATCTCAAAAAACAAGGAAGTCAGAGGGCTGGTGAGATGTCTGGGTGGCCAAAGGCACTTGCTGCCAAGCCTGGCAACCCACGTTCGCTCTCTAGGACCCACATGGTAGGAGAGAACTGCCTCAATATGAACCCACACATATCACAATAAACAAATGTAATATAATTTGTTTTGTTTTGTTTAGTTTGTTTTTCAAGACAGTGTTTCTCTGTATAGGCTCTGCTGTCCAGAAACTCACTCTTGTAGACCAGGCTGGCCTCGAACTCACAGAGATCTATCTACCTCTGCCTCCTGAGTGCTGGGATTAAAGGCGTGTGCAACCACTGCCTGGCTGTAACACAATTTTTTAAAAGGAAGCCTAAAAGCCACATAAGTACAGTGCTGTGTGGTCTGGGAGAGGGGTTATGGCTCTCTGCACAGCCAGCGGAAAGTTTCATGAAGATTCGACTCCCTGCCCCCTCCTATGGAGGGAGATTCAACCCATAGCCCTGGACATCCCTAAAAGTACTCAATAACTGAGCCACATCTCCAGCCTGTGGAGGTGATTTTTCAATCAGGACATGTGCACTAACCTCTAGTCTCAGCTATTTGAGCTGAGACTAAGGCAGAAAAAAATCACTCGAGGCAAAGAATTTCAGGCCAGGCTGGGCAACAGAGAGAAGGCTGCTCTAAACCAGGACACCTTGGCCAACAGAGAGAGACCTGTACCGTTCCTCTACCGCTCCATGCCCACTAGCCTTGAAGAAAGTGAGTGGCTCCCTTCCAGCCTAGCAACCCATGTCAAGGGCCAGTGTTTGATCAGCCTGATGCCAAACAGGTGAGAAGGAACACAACTCAGACAAGTGACAGGTGGAGGGACAGGACACAGACTCTGTTTATTGAGTGGTAGGCACAGGAGAGGTAGCTGGCTCCAGTGTGGAAGCAGAGGCAGCAGGTCATGCCAGGGCACTGTGGGCATCTGGCAGCCTGGGGGCCTGGTCCCTATCTTAAGGGGATGGCACAAGCTCACTACGATAGGAGCAGCAAGGAGCTGGCCAGAGGAGAGAAGCAGCCACAGTCCCCTGGCATCCTGGGCAAGAAGCGGCAGATGTACTTGGCACAGGGGCCGGGGATAAGGGGGCCTGGGGCCTGGGTGCTCTAAGGGGGGTAAAAGGAGGTCATGTCTGTGGCGTGGAATAGAGGCTGTGGTGGTGGCCGCCAGGTCCTGGCACCTGGGAGAAGAGCAGAGGAGTGGTCCTCGTCTGGCTGGCCCCGCCCCAGCCTGGCTCACGTCCGATGGCACCATACCAGCTGCCAGAGCCCAGGCTGCCGGACATGCTGCAGGCAGAGAAGCAAGGTAAGTCCCAGGTGCCCCGGGTAGTGCCCAGGGTCACACTCATGAGATGGGGGAGGGGGGCAGGGGCAGACGCCTTTAGCCCTGGGAACCCAGAGGGGGCTTCACTCAGAACAAGGCAAGCCTGGCTCTTGGTCCCCACTGCCTCATGGAGCCAGGCAGGACCCGAAGACCCCTCAGGCAGGGTTGAGGCTCCTACCTGGTGCTCTCACTCCGGCTGTGCTCCCAGGAGCAGCCCTCATCCTCACAGTGCCCAGCCCGGTCAAAGAAGTAGGAACGGGAGTCAAAAACCTGCCCGTTGAGGATTCGGCTGGTGCTCTGTAGGTGTGGGGGGGGAGAAGCTGCTACTATGGATTTTTATTTTTGCCCTCATAACTGTTTCAGGACCCCAGGCTAGAATCCCCAGGCTCTAGCCCACTCCACTGGACCTAGAGGTGCTTGGGGGCCCTACCAGGTCCTGCGGGGGCCGGTGTACCCGGAAGAAGCCCACCAGCAGTGTGGTGGGCAGCAGCTCCCACACGAAGAGGATGAGGCCAAACACCAGGTAGCCTTTGTTCCCTAGGTCATTCACCAGGTCTGCCTGGGGGAAAGCGGAGGCTGAGAACAGTCTGCCACCACACAGACCGTGCTGGCGCAGGGCCCTGGCCAGCCGGGGGCTAGATACCAGAGAAGGAACAAACTCGGCCAATGCCTACCTGGTCAGATACGTTGTACCAGTCGTAGTCGAAGGCATCTAGCCGGCTCCGAGGGGCCAAGGCCAGAGCTGCCAGGTTGTAACAGGCCCGACTGGCATAGAGCAGAACCATGGCAGCCCCTATGGCAGCCGCCTGGCACACACTGGTCCCCTGGTAGAGATGACGATAGAGGACCTTCAGGGGGAGGAGGAGGCTTCCTCTACATCCTAAGGACCTCTGTCCAAGGACCCTCAAGGCTGCCACATCAGGGCTGGTGGCCCTACCTTAGCCTCTAAGTAGATGCTAGTGGAAGGAGCTCGCCTGGCGACGAGGCAGAGGCAGGCAGCAAGCGAGAGGGCGCAGATGACGAAGAGGGAGTCGCTCACCAGGACGCGGACCAGCAGGAGAACCCAGGGCTGTGCCCGGCGCTGGCGGGACAGCACGGCACACAGTACGTTCACCAGCAGAAAGAGCAGGGAAGCGCCCACGAAGGCCCCTCGGACAGCCAGCCTGCAGCCCACAGCAAAGTCAGCCCCCCGACCACGGACTTCCCTGGCCCTCGCCAACCACCACCCCGACTCCTCCGAAGACCCCAGGGTCAACCAGAACTCAAGATGGTCCAGTCCAAACTCTGCTCGTCTAGTTTTGCATAGGAGGGAACTGAGGCTCAAAGAGGTGAGGTG